TTTACAACACAAATGAGTAGCACTGTGCCAAAGCACTGGAGCTCTACCCACTTTGTTTTTCATCATTAGAACAAATATCAACATAGTTGTTCCAGATAAACCATGAGATTAAAAAGTCATTCCACACTTTGACTATTTTAGGACATAGGTTTATTGCCAAGCTTTCACATTAAATAAATAGAAGCACAGTAACAAGTCCAACCATGTTTGTAGCTGCATCCATTTGAAAAGTGTTACGTATATCTTATTAGAGTGTGTATCTGTGGGGAAAAAATCTTTAACAAGTTAACTATACTGTTCAGAAGAACCACTATGGGCATTTCTTTTCATCTGGCAGATACTCAGCAATGTCAACTGTATAGTTTCTAAATTCTTAGCCATTATACATTTCTCCAGCTAATACAGCAAATAATTTTCTTCTTCTGAAATATTCAGTTTTTTTAATTTCTGGTTTGAAACTTATGACAGTTTTGTTTTATGGATCACCAGAAGTCTGAATTTAAATTATTCAGTAGCGTTCAAAACAATCCAACACTCATTGGAATGAGTCCACAACATAGCTGGTGCCAGCACTATTCCAAGTTAGGGTGTTGCAAAGGACATGCCAAGTTAAATGATCTCTAACGCCAGGATACATTTCACTCCCTAAGTTTCTTGACCGACTCTTCCATATTTGTCAGTTTATATAATATCTTAAAACACAAATAAGATTAGTGGAACAATTAAGTGTCTTCTTATAAAACCACAACCCTCTTTCTAATTAAGTTCTAAAGTTGCAGTTTTATAATTTGGAACTTTGGGGAAATGCTCAAAACATGACAATAAAACACCTTTGTCCTTATATACAAAGCTACAAGATTTAAAAATAACAACTGTATAGATTATAGAAGGTATAACCTAGAAAGTTAATAAAAAAAAAAACATACTCCACACCTAAACTACCTTAGAAAAATCCAAACTACATAGTAGCATTTAACAGAGTGACAGTATTGTCAGTGAGAATCATGTGTCTGTTTGCTTCTGAGAATGTAAAAGGCAACAGCTTGGTATTACGAAAAGTGTGTTGATCTCGAAGACCTGGTTCTGCTCAGACAGCAGGGATACAGCCTTAAACAAGCACTGTCCTCTCCTTAAGGAACAATCTAAAGGAGGAAAAACAATAATGACACAATTACTATCCTTAATTAGATTTTAAGAGCCATGACAACATTCAATTGACCAGATGTGGTGTAGGGGTGAGGGCTTTAAGGAAAGGTTCCTTGAGATGTTCTGAAGCACTCTCAGTGACTTAAGACTTGGTCAAATTTTTGAATTCTTCTCTGAGAGAGAAACCTAGCATTTTGGTCATTACTCTATCACTACCTTATATTTATCTCTAATTTCCTAAAACAATATTTGAATCAGAACAAGGTAGTACAAAGCTGGTAGGAATATCAAAAGCTAGGCCAGTTTCTATCCCTAGCCCCAATCTACTTGTATGCCCATGGGAAGTTAGTAAATCTGAGTTTTAGTTGTCTCTACTGTACACACACTGGTACCAAAGCCTCTGTTATGGTGAATAGTACTTCATATGGGATTTTAGTGAAGGGCCAAAAAAGATCAAGTCTACTGAGTGAATTCAAAATCCACCCAATAGAAGAAGTAGGATTGGGTTAAGTAACAAAATACTCAATTTTATAAATATGACCTGAAAACATGTTAACGTTGCCAAAAGGAAAATCCAAACTTAAAATATTTCTTCAAATACCTAGAAAACAAGGGTGAAAAAAATACCAGGACAAAAAAGACCAGTGATTACTAAGTCGGAAAAACGGGCCTGGACATAACACAACTCCAGTTCAAGCCTAAAAGACACTCAGTGCTAACTAAACCAGTCAAGAATGGAGTCACGAATATCTTCTGGATAAGTATACCCTCCAATACATAAACTAAAGTCTCAACCACCTTCAAGGTTAAATGCTTGACTCCCAAAGTTGTGACCCAGCAAAATGCTGTATAGCTAGGGTTCACCCCAAACTAGTCTCGTTCTTGGGATGCCCAACTGTCACATTTTACACCAAACATAAGGCCTTATCTAATTCAAAATTTTTAAAGTAAAAATCACACACCCTCATCTAACTTTCACATCAAGCACAAATGTTTAACATGTAAGTTTTTGTGGTAAGTATATGAAATCATGACACAGGAAATTAAGGTTATTTAAACCACCAACCAAGGCATGCCTAGTACAAGAATTGGATAGCTGCAATGGTTCAGGGGAAACCCAAGGAAGTGCTTCTGAGTACAAGACAGGGAGGCCTCAGTTTCCTCCATGAAAAGAGCATTAAGACACTTCAGTTAAGTATTAGATTCCTGCACAATAGGAGCTTTGTCCTGTATTTCATGGGCTTTAATTAGCAATTGAAAACTCTGACTTGACAAATCATAAAACCAACATTTGTTTGGTTCTCAACTCTGCTTACTCACTGAAGAAATCCGTGTCCTTGAGGAATGCAATTTGATGGGAGAAACGTAGTAGTAGATCAAAGTTGAAGGAAATATTATTTGGAATATTTTCATATCCTTGTATGTAGGTGGGTGTGAAAGACAACTTTGACTATAGTTTATTTAATGTACACTGGTGTTTTTCCTGTATATATTCTGTGTGAGGGTGTCAGATCCCCTGGAACTGGAGTTATAGATAGTAAGCTGCCATGTGGATGCTGGGAATTGAATTGAGTCTGTGTCCTCTGGAAGAGTAGCCAGTGCTCTTAACCACCTCTCCAGACCACCTGTAGTTTCTTATTTGCTATCTGCCTTGTTTTTTGAGATGTTCTCACTGGCGTGGAGACTGCCAAGTACCTAGGCTTATGTGGCCAGTAAGTCCTAGGGATACCTCAGACGTGCTCTAACTTGCCTGGCTTTCTTATGTGGGTTGTGGAGATTTAATTCAAGTTTTCATTGCTTGCAACACTTTACTAATTATCACCCAAGCCCCCTTAATATAGTTCCTTTAAAAGGATCTGACCTGCATTTTGTTTTTCCCTTTCACTCGGGGTTTGTTACTGTCTGGTTCTTTTTTTAAGAGGGGAGAAAAAAAAACAAAACAAAACAGCTCAGGATAGGGACACACTGGTCACTTTTAACCCCACCACTCAGGAAGCAGAAGCAGGCAGAACTGTAACTTAAGGCTAGTCTGGTCTATACATATTGAGTTACAGGCCAGCCAGAGACACATACTGCGTGAGACCCTGTCTCAGGAAAAAGTCTTTGAGGTTATCATTTTTATATTTACAGTAAGCAAGTGAACATGAAAGGACAGAATTTTAATCTGGCCTTGGCTGCCCAGAATTTAAAATTCTCTGGGTGGGAGACTAGAAAATCCAACAGCAAGGCAACAGTCTCTGCATACTAAAGCCCTAAGATGTCCCTGTCCTAGACATACCAAACTTTAAGACATGGAAGTAGAAAACAAAGCCTTAGTTTTTTTAGGGGGCAGGGGCTCATTAAATATCAGTCCCATCTCACTCCTCATGAAACTTTTATTTTCATTTTTTTTAAAGAAAGGACAAATTTAGAGTTTAAAAGAATTTCCAAGCCCACCCCAAAAACCAGGCTGCAAATCTCAGCAGCTGCCCTGAGGCAAAAAGCCACGCCATTTAAACCAGCATGGGAACTCAGACATGTGGCAGACAAGAAACCACATGGTGGGAAGGACGGTTCAAAGAGTAAGGAAGCCCAAAGTGAAGGGGGGAAAAAAAAAGAAAAGAAAAAGAAAAAGCAATTAAATTGACTAGCAGCCAAATCCCATGGTGGCTCCTAGGGAATGCCTCAATTATGATTTAATGAAATCTCAGCTTCCTAAATTTTGTTTTTCGACAGCCCTGGCTGTCCTCGAACTTAGAGACCTACCTGGCTCTGTTTTCTGAGTGCTGGGACCAAAGGTGAGCACACCAGTGCTCAGTTAAACTCTAGCCCTAAGGTTTTGAAATCCAAATTAATCGGTACTTGCTTTCATGTTTAGTAATGGTTTGTAGGTTTAGCTTTCAGCTTAGTATAGATGAAGCAGAAAAAAAAAAAAAACAACAAAGCACTTGAAGCAAATGGCTACCAGAGGTTCAATTTTTTATTTCTTGATTGCTTAGTGTAAACAGAACATTATTAAAGTTCCCATTAGTCTTCTATAACCCCCAAGTTTGCAGCTATGGTTCCCCTGTCCAGTTACACTTCAAATGAAAATTAGTTCCTTGTTCACATTTCCAGTGCTTAAAGAGTGATTTGATTATTGGCTACCATATTGGGACAATACATGTACAGTGTCCACGTCACTGCAGTAAGTTCTCCTGGATAGTATTCTTATTGAGCACACACACAACACTTAACCTCAAGACCAAGCTTCACAAATACATTTATGTTGCTTACTACATTTTACTTACGACTGGCTACAAGAAATATAGTAGGAACTTAAAAGTCGTCAGTAAGACAGCACCAAAGCAGCTCAGCAAAACATTTAAACCAGCAATAACATGAGGAGTGACATGAATCAAGCCAGAGACCAAGAGAAAGCACTGCTTAAATAGGAAAACACAGGCTCACAGGACCTTAGGCCAGGAGAGCCAACACCTGAACCATAACAGTGAATTCTAGAGGGAACCACCATCTACAGATGTGTACAGTGACAAAATATGAGTAAGCAGTAATCAATTCCATGTGACTCAAAGTGTGTATGCAGGAAATAATGAAATGAAAAAGGAAAAAGCTGTCACTAGCCCATTAACGGTCTTCTGTATTGTACTCGTGGAATCCACTAAAGCATTAAGGAGTCAGTAAATTTCATGTCAATTCATGTACCTTTTAATACAATCAGCCTGGCGATATGTAAGATACATCAGGTGATATTGGAGGAGACATCCATCTGGAAGCCATTAATAACAGTTCAGTTTATTAATGGTGAAAAAGGAGATAGGCATACATGGGAGTGGAAAGAAGCTGAACTTTAGGTTAGATTCTCAATAAATCTATTGTAGTAAAGCTCCTGAAGGGGTGGGGATAGAAAATGCAATCAAGGCAAACAGTCAACAAAATGTACTAAGGAGGAATAAAAGAACTGCAGGGCAAGGCCCTAGCTACAGCCTCAATTTGTGGTGTAACTAATCTGTCTGGTTTCATGACTCATCAGGCTTCTAAGATCAGGAGAGGAAGAATGCCAGTGCTCTGTCTAGGGATTGGATAAGCCAGTACAACAAATGAAAACAGGACTAAAATGAGAGAGCGCTAAAATATCTCTTGGTAGGGCTGCAGAGGGAGCAAGAGGGACAGAGTGAAGTACTGGGCTCTGCAGAAACTGCTAAGATTCTGTTTATATATTCTAATTACGATACTATAATTTCATGATATAGCAAGGATCTCAAGTGGGAGTATAAGCTTGGGTGAGCATGTCTTTAATCTAACACGATGAAAAATACTTCAAGGCAGATCATAAGCAATAATAACCTGTAGTTTTGCTGCATAAAACCCCAGGTGAGCGCCTAATCACCCATTTCCCTCCTTTGCTCCTATTACAATTCCCTCCGGACACAAACGAAAATCTCTGGGAAGTGTCGTCCCTCCAATTTTAAACCTGTTCAATTCCCCTGCAGGACAACGCCCACGCACCAGGTTAGCCCTTAAGACAGCCTAGAAGACTCCCGCCCATCTTCCAGAAAGCCTCGACTTGCAGATCACGAGGGGAGAGGGGGAAGGGACTGTTCCAGGCCCGGGGCGGTCTTTAGAAGCCAGGAGGCAGCAGAGAACTCCCAGAAAGGTATTGCGGCACTCCCCTCCCCCTGCCGAGAAGGGTGCGGCCTTCTCCCCGCCTACTCCACTGCGGCTCCCTTATTGATTGCAGCTCTCACGGAATTTCGGAGAGCAAGTGCCTCCTGCCTCCAAACCGGCCCGACTGAGCCCCCACTCCTTCCTCCACTCCTAGGAGTGCGCTCTGCAGGTCCGGTTCGTCTCGCCCCTCGTGCGGCAAACAACTCTAGGAGGAACCGCGCTCGCCCCCGCCCCGCCGCTCCGACCGCCCGCCCGTCCCCGCCCCCAGCGCGCGCTTCCTGCCACGTTGCGCAGGGGCGCGGGGCCAGACTCTGCGGCGCGGGGCCTTGGGGAGGGCCGGAACCTGCGAGCGCCTCCCTGCCGCCCCCGCCAGCCCGCGTATGGACTGAACTTGCACGAACGCGGGCCAATTGCAGGGGCCAGTTTTCTGGGCCCCGGGAGCCAATCAGACGACGAGGCCAGGCCGGCGGCGGGTAAACCGACTCCCCCAGAGGAAGGGGAGGGTGGGAGGCCGCCTGGGCGCCAGCCACTTTCGCTGACCCTCCCTCCCCTCCCCTCCCCTCCCCCGCCCCGCCAGGGGCCGGCCGCGCCCGCACGTCCAGCTCTCCTCACCCCACCTACCTCCCGCCCCACCCAGTGGGCACAGCGAGGCAGCCCAGCGGCTGCGCACTCCAGCACCCGTTAACTGACAGGCGCTTCACTCCAACCAAAACACGCCATTTGTGTTTTTACACACGGCGGGAGGAGAAAAGGCCAATCAGCGACGAGACGGGAACCGGAAGCGCTCCTCCGCCCCCCCGTGGGAGCCATGGCCGCGTCCGGTGGAGATCTTTCCGCTCCCTCCTCCCTCCCCCTCCGGTTGCGGCAGGGCGGACCGTGGCCCCGACCACCACCCGCCTGCCCCTTCCCGCGTACGGCCCGCGCCCAGCTGTGTCCCCCAGAGCGGCCCCAGCACCCCCGAGGGCTCCCCGCAAACCGCCCGTCCCCGCGAACGCGCCGAGCCACCCTCCCGCCAGAGTCCCGATCCCCTACCTAGCCGAGGCTCTCTGAGGAGCCGGAGCCCCAGAGCACAGCCTCTTCTTTAGGCGGCCCCCGGCAGCCTCCGCTGATTGGCGGCGAGCTGGCCAATAAGTGCGGGGCGGTGGGCGGAGAGGCCAATGGCGCGGCGGGAGGGGGCGTGTCCCGCGTGCCCCTGGCGCCGGCACTGGGAATCCCCGTGCGGTCAGTGGCGTTTCCGCTCGGGCAGCGGGCTGAGTGAGCTGCCGCTGCCGCCGCCGCTGCCGCCGCCGGGGGAGGGGCGGCCGCCGCCCGCCTGCGCTCAGAGACTCACGCAGCCCTAGTCCCGCCAGTCCGCCAACACAGTAGTGCCGGCCCCCCTCCGCCCCTGGCCCTCCCCCTCCCCGCCTTGGGCTCGCTCCGCCTTTCTGCCCCCCCACCCCCACCTCACGGGTACGGGCCATTCCCGGCCAGGAAACGCCGTGGCGCCGCGTTGGGCCTAACTCGAGTCTCGCTGCCTCCCGGGAGTGCCGTGCGCCGCAGCCCGGGCCCAGGCCCCGGCAGCGCCTGGGTCAAGGTAAGGGTCCAACAGAAAAGAGACACCGAACCACACGACCGGTTCCCCGGGGGAAGAAGGGTCACCTCAGTCGGCCCGCGTTCCTTCTCGTCGGGGTCGTGGGGCCTGGGCCTCCCAAGGCTGGAGCAGGAGAATTCCTTCCTTCCCGTCTTCTCGGCTACCCTTACACACCATTGCACCCCTCTTGCCCAGGGAGAAAGGCTCCTCTTAATCCAGTCGACCCCACTACCCTTTTAATGTCTTCCCTGGGTCAGGACTCTTCCCCTCCCCCTACTCTGGTCTCCCCCCTTTTTTTTTTTCTGGGCACTGCCTACTCCACGTTTATACCCTTTTCAGGAGAGGCCTCTCGCAACCCTGCTCTCAAAATACACAGGCATACTTTTTTTTTCTGTCCCCGAGCCCCCCCCTCCACCCCCTGTTCCTGCGGCCTTATGACAACTCTGATCGTTCGGGGCCCAGGCCTCCCCTCCATAATCTTCCTGAATGCCTCCCCCCCTGCTTCTCGAGTCCGTATCTCAGATGGCTGCTGCTTTCCCCATACCAAAGACATTACCTCCACCACCCCCACCTCACATTCTTGGACTCCCTGTGGCGTATGCCCCAGTATCCCTGCGATATCCCTGTTGAATTTGTAGGGTTCCAGCCTGGAACTGAGCCAGATTTTGTCGGTTTCCGTGCCTAGGGCGTGGAGAGCGATCTTTTAGGAACGACTTTAAAGACGGGGGAAAATGTGCCCCTTATGAATTCTCTTCCCTTATGCGTGCAAGCTAAGATGTGAGGTGAGCGGTGATGGGCAGAAGCCCTGTTTTTAGTAGGTAAATCGCGCTGAGGGAAAGTTTTAACTGCTGGGAAAGCCCCTTCTATGCTAATTTATTCTATAGAGCGCCTTTGCCTTTTTCATTCTTGGGAATAAGGGATCTTTCTCCTGTATACTGATGCTGCAGCCCGCTCTACTGGTCTGGGTCAGGGGTGCGTGTATGACCTGCATTTTCTGCTTTCTCATGTTACTTGTGTAATGTGTTCACCAGCAACTCATATCTTGCCCAGAGCTGTGAGCTAGCTCTACTGGGTTTTGTCTATACCTGGGTTCCTTTTTCCAATTTTTCCTGGGTTAGAATACTTAAAGAATTTAGGTTCTCTAATTTCCTCCATACTTTCACTAAATAAACTGTTTTTCGATGACATATTTCTGACCAAGGTCATGTTTATATTACTTCTTGGGCATATGTTAAATAGCTATACTTTTGATTGGAGAAGATCCTGATGATTGTTACCAGCTTTTTCAGGAGGAGGTATTGAAGGGAAAGTGCTTTTGATGGTTAATTTTATATTAATAATGGTTTTAGGTCGCTAGGAGGAAAGCTGTAAGGGGTAGTTTTAGATGTTTACAGTCTGACCTAGGATTGAGGCAGAGAATACTGACATAATGAGAGATTTCTGAGCTTGGAGGACACAGGAATTTTTTTCCCTTGGATTTGTTCCAGTTTTCTCAGGAGGATCATTAGTTCTCTGGCCAAAATTTGTGGCCAGTTATAGGAGTAGAGCCTTTAAGGCTATTCAGATTGTCATGTGTAGAATATTGAATTATGTCCTTTGGTAGTACACGACCCAAGGCTCTTGTTCCTAGCTGTAAATTTAAATTTGATTGCTGAATGTTTGGAAAATTGGCCTTCTAAAAACCAAAGCTTAATACTTACTCCTAAATTGCTTGTTTAATTAAAAACGAATATTTGGAATTTGGTACATGTTGATTTTTCTAACCAGAGATCTCAATTTAAAACTGACCTTAGGATTATTTCTTTCTAAAAGCATACTTCCAGCCCTTCCAGCATGGAGCACTGGTCAAAAAAAAAAAAAAGTGTGTGCTAAGAAGTGGGGGTGGGGTAAAGAGAAGGTTGCTCCTGTGTTGGATCACAGGAGTGAGTATACAAGGCGGCAGCAGCTGCTGGCTCTGGAGCTCTGGTTGCTACGTGAGAAGCTTGAGTAGTGCTGGCTGCTGTCTCCAGGGAAGGACAGCAGTGCAGCGTCCATTAATGCTGTTGGCTGCAGGGAACTGCACTTAGGCGATGGCTGCTCAGGACTGGAAAGAAACCTTGCTTGCTTTCCTGGGAAATTGTACTGCTGAGCTGGTTTGCTTTTTGTTAGTGAAGAGACCAGGATTAGCAATTCATAACTGTATCCATTTATGGATATCACCATCTGAAAACTGAGTCAAAGTTAAAGAGTTTGGGTTTTTGTTTGGGGAGGGGGTTGGCAGCTTTTTTGATGTTACCTGAGGTTTTATACTAATAAAAAGTTCATTAGTGTTTTGATTTTTTTTAATCCTTTTGAAGACTAAAGTACCAATGTAAAGATTTCCCTGAGTACCAGGACATGGTGAGGAGGATCTTTATGTTCTATTTTTTCAATGCAACTGATATGTTTTCCTCTATCTCTTAATTGCTTAAGTCACTTGTCTCTCCATATTAGACCATATTTACCTTCGTGAATAGATGTTCTGCTAAACATCTTAACTATAATTGGAAGCCTAAACTAAAAAGAGCTGCTTTTGGATTAATATTTAATTTTTTTGTTCTTATTTTCTATATTAATCTGTAGACCTCTACAGATTAGATATCTTCACTGATGTTTGACCTATAAATTGGATTAATTGTGTATGTGTTGGATTATAGTCTTTCCACTGAACAAAGATGATGTGTCTTGACAGTAATCCATCAGAAACAGGAAAAACCAGAAGGAATGTTCAGAAATTGAGTAAGTTTGGTTTAGGATAGTAAGAAGGCAGTAAGAGTCCCTTCTAAGTTTTGATATCAGTCCCCAGCTGAACAGAACCAGGATGATCTCTGATTAAGCCCAGTAGTTTGTCTGACAGAATATTTGAAACTGAGCCATCATCACCTAGGCATGTGCAACGAATAAAATTGTGGGTTTTTTTTCTCCCTAAGATTATTACTGCAACCAATACCTGTTCTTCAAGATTCTGTTTGTCCAATTTTGTATCAAGTATTTAAATCCCACAAACATCTATAATTTGTAGTATGGCTCTAGCATTTGTGGCAGGGAACCAAGAAACAATGGTGAGCATTTTGTCATTCACAGATGTGGTTCATATTTTTCCAGTGCTAAAAGCAGGTCTATAAAACAAAACTCTTAATGGTTGTTTCAGGTGGTTTTAATACATCGGTAAGATGCTATAACCCATAGGTATTATTTCACTCATGCTGGCCATTACTATACTTACAGCTCAAGATATTTACAGTTAAGATACAAGTGTTTTTAGCTTAATTATAATATACAAGTTTTTCTTAGAAAATAATGACTACTACTTTTATTTCTTGTTTTTTGGAACTGGTTGTAGTCTCACTATAATCCCTCTGGAGGATCAAGAGGCTTTTTTCTTAGAAGGATTGCTTGGACTGGCACTTAAAAATGCTTACATCTTTTGATACTGTTGAGTATCTAAGAGCCTGCATACTTTCCAAAATTATTCTGACCTTGTGACAAAGGTGGATATGTCAGCTTTGCCTTTGGATGGGGAAATAAAATCATCTTCATATTGAAATAACTGAAACATTAGGCCATCGCAATCAGTAATTGTTGAGTACATATCAAAGGGAAATTAGATCATAAATAAATAAGATTTTTACTAGTAACTTTCAGCTAA